TTGCATTTCTTGGAACAGATGGCTCAGGTACAAAGCGAATGGAAATCACTGGTGACCAACATCAATACCTGAAATGCAATCATTTTCTCATACTGCACGACACTTTGCATGCACAATTACGCACCTCCAAGCATGGCTCCAGGTGTCGCATTGCGATAGGCCCACTTGCATGCATCCTTTGCACTCTCCATGGCATATCTGGTTGTGCAAGGTGGTGCAAGGAGGTGCGAGTAGGTGCGAGGAGATGCGAGGAGATACAAGAAACAACATGGGGTCAATGCAAGACCAGGAAACACGGAAGCATACAAACTCGCAAGAGCTGTAATGTAGAAGAACAGAAGGTGAAAATCAACTGTGGTGCACTGCTGAAGCACTGAGTCTAATCTACTGAGGCACACAGAGAAGAGAAAGACAGGCCAGAACCATAGGGATCAAAGAAACACTGCAGAGAAAACAGAATCAAGACAGACTCAACACTACAAGACACTGCCTCCTTCTCTTGGCCGAGTTTGAGGAGAGCAGAGGCACTTACAGAGCTGGGCAGACTGCAGCTTGAGCAAGCAAAAGGATTGATGCTGCTTCAGAAGAAACTTCAGCAGCACCAGAAGCAGCAGCACAGTCGTCAGCACCACTGGCACCAGGTGCAGGAGAAGCGATATCTCCAGGTGCAGGAGGCCCAGGCAGGAATGAGTGGGCGGGGCGCCAGTCAGAGGCGGGTTGGTGGAGAGAGAAGAGGCACTCACACAGCTGGACAGACAGCAGCCTGAGCAGGAGAGAAGGTCGATGGTGATTCAGCAGCATCAGCATCACTAGCAGCAGAAGAACGAGAAGGAGTGTCTCCAGGGCAGGAGGCCCAGGCAGGAATGAGTGGGCGCCAGTCAGAGGCGAGTTGGTGGGCAATGTGATGCAGCATGGCGGTTCGACTGCCGTTGTACCGCAGGTGGATGGCTTTGGCGATTATGTAGCTGTCCCACACCTGGTGTAGAGGGCGTGGAGAGCGGTGGAGCGGGGTGGAGAGGGGTTGAAGGGGTGGAGAAGGGCTGGGGTGTGAAAGACATCGAGGGCACGAGGTGATGTGATGCAGCATGGGGGTGAGGCTGCCGTTGTATCGCAGGTGGATGGGCGAGGCTATGTTGAATTCGTCCCACGCCTAGAGGAACGTGGGGGGAAGGAGAGCGGTGGAGAGGCGGTTGAGAGAGGTTAAGAGGCGTGGAGACGGGTTGGGAGGGGTGGGAAGGTGAAGGGCCCCAGGTCATGGGGGTTGGTGGGCGATGTGATGCAGCATAGTGGTGAGGCTGCCGTTGTTTTACAGGCGCCTCAAGAAAAGGTTGCCGTTGCTTTTTAGGCGCCTCAAAGAAGGCTGCCGTTGTTTGTTGCACAGGTAAATGGCAGAGGCGATGATAGAATTCGTTCCACACCGGGCATGAATGGCAGTGGATGGAATGGCATGGCATGGCAGGGCGGACATATCTCATGCATGGCATAGCATGGCAGACTGACATACCAAATGCAGGTTGGTCTTCCTCTTGAACCATGTCACATGCACCCTGTTGCCACCGAAATCCGATGTGAATCCCAAATGTAGTGGCTGAAGCAGGGGGATATAGAACAGACGGACGGAGGCATGAGGGGGGGCCGCGGGGAGTTGGATGGGGGGAGTGGGGGAAAAACGCATGCACCCTGTTGCCGCCCAGATCTGATGTGAGTCCCACATGCAGCGGTTGCACCAGCGGGGTATGGGGCAGATGGGCGGAGGCACGGGGGGGGGGGGGGGGGGGGGAGAGAGAGGGAGAGACATGCACCCTTTTGAGAATTCTCAAAAGTGATTTCCACACACCCTTTTGCCGCCCAGATCAGAATATGTGAAGCCCACATGCAGCAGCTGAAGCTGGGGTTGTGTAGCAGATGAATGGAGGAATGGATGGGGAAATCAGGGGGATATTTTGAGACAGTTCAAAAGTGACCTCATGGGTGGGGGAACAGGGGGTTTACAGGATTGAAACATGCACATCACATCCTGTGCAGACACGTGCACCACCACCCACCTCACCTGGTGCACATCCCCTGCAAAGTGCGCCAGGAACATGAGAGCCTCTGTGAGAGTGTGGCCTGCAACACCACACTCTCATCTGGTGGATGTCCCCTGCAAAGTGCGCCAGGAACATGGGCGCCTCTGTCAGGTTGTAGCTTTTACTGAGTAAACCCACACACCTGCCGCTCGTTGCCCTGTGCATATGTGTGCACTGCTATCACCCTCACCTGGTGAATGTCCCCTGCAAAGTGCGCGAGGATGTGATGGTGAGGTGCAGGGAACATGGGCGCCTCTGTCAGGTTGTAGCGTTTGTTAGATCCGGAACTTGTAGATTAGATCACCAAACCCATCCTCACCTGGTGGATATCCCCTGCAAAGTGCGCGAGGAACATGAACGCCTGTGTCAGGTTGTGGTGCCTCACAGACCCTGCCTCTGTTGCGCGTTGCCACTTTGCATATGTGTGCACCGCAACCCTCATGCAACCCATATGTGTGCACCGCAACCCTCATGCAACCCATATGTGTGCACCGCAACCCTCATGCAACCCATATGTGTGCACCGCAACCCTCATGCTCACCTGGTGGATATCCCCTGCAAAGTGCGCGAGGAACATGAGCGCCTGTGTCAGGTTGTAGCCTCCAATAGACCCCCCATCCAGCACTGCCCGCTGGTCACTGGCAGGAGGACGAGCACGAGCAGATGAGGCAGAAGCAGCCGTAGCAGCAGCCGTGGGAGCGAGAAGAGAAGCATGAGGAGCACTCCTTGCACTAATTCGTACCATTCCCTTTACCACCCGCACCATCTCATCTTCCCCTTCTCCGTCCCCCTCACCCATTCCCAGAACCCCAGATCCTGCCTCATCCATCCCCCTGAAGAGAGTGCGGCGGTGAGGGGAGGAGGGGAAAACAGTAGGCTTAAAGGAAGGAGCAGGTTCGGAGGAGGATGGGGGGAAGGAGTGGCGGGAAGGGGATTCAGGCTGGGAGGTTGGATGGTGGGGTGAGTAGGTGAGGAGCTGGGAGGTGTAGTTGATTATGGCGTTGGTCACACACATACCGGGGCGATCGGCGAAGGTGCAATCGCCTAAAGGGGAGGGAGGGAAGAGGGGGGAGGGAGGAGAGAGGGGCGCGGAATAGTAGGTGAGGAGATGGGATAGAGTAGTTGACAATAGCGTTGGCAACACACACACCGGGGTGATAGGCGAAGGTGCAAACATCCGGAGGGGAGGGATGGGGGACGGAACGATGCATGGAAGAGTAGGATATGCAAGGAGGTAGGATTTGTGGTTGGTTGGTAATGGCGTTGGCCACACACACACCAGGGTGATAGAGAAGGTGTAATCGCCCGGAGGGGAGAAAGGGTGGACAGATAGACATGGGGAAGTAAGTGGGGTGAGGAGCTGGGATGTGAATGTAGGTGAGGAGCTGGCATGCGAATGTATTGCTTGAATACCATACCATACCGCACTCTACCACACCGTACCCAGTCAGACCAACTCGTATGAGCAGGCGAAGTCAGGAGTACCAGCGAAGTGCAGAGGTATGGACCAGGCCCACCCCTTTGTGTGCTTAATAACTTGCTCAGATACCATACCGTACCGCACTCTACCACACCATAACCAGTCAGACCAACCTACTCACGGCATTCATCGTACGAGCATGCGAAGTCAGGGGTACCAGCGAAGTGCAGAGGCATGGACCATTCCCACCCCTTGCTGTGCAGAATATCATCCGCCCACGAGCACACGGCAGGGAGGCTGCCCTGGGCGATGGGGGGCAGCAGCGCCGCCACTGCTGCTGCTGCCTCATCGGTCAGCAACGCCTGGATCGGGAGGGAGGGGGAATGGGGCTTGGGAACATGTGAAGGCGGGGGCCTGGTTTGGCCACGAGCATACAGCAGGGAGCGAGGGAGGCTGCCGCACGTGAAATCGTGGCCGTCGTGACCCCACGTCACCTCTTGCCATATCACGTAATTATATAGGCACCTAATCTACATAGGAAAATAACTTACCTAAGCTGCCTATGGTACATAAGGTACATACGGACGGAAACCCACCTGGGCGATCGCACAGGTGAACGCGTGGCCGACGTGGCCCCACTTGTGGCACCCAAGGACTAGGGTAGGGCATACGGCTAATCTGCCTATGACTGACGAATACTGCTCGCTCTGACCTGAGCGATGGCGCAGGTGAACGCGTGGCCGACGTGGCCCCACGCGTGGCACCCGAAGCGAGCCGCGGGGAGCAGAGCGAGGAGCGACACAAACGTTAGAAGCAAGCGGGGGTGCGACGGGCCGCGACGAGCGGCTTGGAGGCCGCAACGCGCCATGGGGAAACGGAGACGCTGAGATGATGCTTCAAGAAAGGCGTCGCACGCTGGGCGGTAAATGCTCGCAGCCCCTTTAAAAGCCTAATATGAGAGAGGGAAACGATGGCGGAGGACGAGCGGAGAGTGAGGACGCGTCGCCTTCGGCTCATTTTGACGATCGATCCTATCATTCGCAGTATCGAATTTCAACGGGGTTGAAAAACGTTCAAGAATGTTTGAATGCAATAAGCTAGATTTCAGTGCGTTGGACAATCGGTTTCGCACGTCTGATCGTGGAAATTTGAAAGAGGTGACGCGTCACTGAAGGAGAGAGAATGAAAGAGGGTACCAAACAAAATTCATCTGATACTGCTGTGCAGTGCATATGTAGTCCGCTATGAAGTGCCACGCTTTGCGGTACATGTGTGCGAAACGTGAGCCTCGTGGTGGTGGGCTGCCGTTGGGATTGCTTTTCGCCAAGCGCCGTACTCAAACTTTCTGAATCCCAATGGAACACACTTGATCGAAAGAAGCCTCGATGAACCTCAGGTTACGGTAATCATTCGTCAGAAGTATTTCGGTGTTTCCTCGTGTCGATGTGTGTCCATCTACACTTCCGTTTAACTGTTTATAGATATCTAAATATGCTGCAATCTCTATGTTTTCACTGTACAGCCCTACGAGAAGCAAATATGTGGTTGAGAATACGGGCGAGGCGCACCCCACCCATGGCAATGCGAATCTCCACAACGGGCAGGCGAGACTTGAAATACTCATCTTTGGAGTTTGACGAAGGAGCCAACGGTGCAGTGCGGTAAGACAGGGATGGGAAGGATGGGTGAGGAAGGACAGGAGACACATGGGTGCAGATGGACAGGAGAATTTTTGTCAAACAAACTGTAGTGCTATTTTGAATGGCAGATGAGTTGGGAGAAACAAGCATGGCATGCGGAAGTGGGGAAACACAACACCTGCATACACTTGTTGGATTTCTTCAAACAGATTATCCAGGAACGAAGCAAATGAAGATCACTGGTAACCAGCAGCACTACCTGAGATGCAATGACATATTGCGTGATACTTCGCATCCACAACAACGCACCTCCAAGCACGACTCCAGGTGTCGCATTGCGATAGGCCCACTTGCATGCATCCTTTGCACTCTCCATGGCATATCTGGTTGTGACAGGTGTTGCGAGGAGATGCGAGGCGATGCAAACAGATGCGAGGAGTTACAACAGGGGCAAATGAAAGACCAGGGATTATGGAGCCAGAAATACCTATAAAAAAATGTAATGCTGATGCACTGATAGTTAGTGCGCAGATGCACTGATGGTTAGTCTGCAGATGCACCTGTTGAAGCACTGGGCGTAAAGGTGTGCGTGGTGTGCACACAGAAGAAAGGCAGGCTAGAAACATAGGGATTAAGCATACACAGAGAAACACTATTGGGCAGAACAAAATGAGGACAGGCTCGACATTACAGGCGAATGAGAAGGGTCGAAATCAGCAGCAGCACGACAAAGGATGCTTTCAGGGCAGGAGGTCCAGGCGGGAATGAGGGGGCACAGTCAGAGGCGGGTTGGTGGAGAGATGGAAGGCAGAGCACTTACACAGCTGGGCAGGCAGCAGCTTGAGCAGGCGAAAGAGTTGATGCTGCGTCTCCAGGGCAGGAGGCCCAGGTGGGGATGAGTGGGCGCCAGTCAGAGGCGAGTTGGTGAGCGATGTGATGCAGCATGGCGGTGCTGCTGCCGTTGTAGCGCAGATGGATGGCTGATGCTATGATGAAGCTATCCCACACCTGGAGGGATGTGTGGGAGTTTGGGAGGCGTGGAGAGGGGTTGTGAGGGGTGCGAAGGGTGGAGGGACCAGGGCATGACGGTTGGTGGGCGATCTGATGCAGCACGGTGGTGTGACTGCCATTGTAGTTGTTCCACACCTGATGCAGAGAGGTGGAGCACGGTGGAGAAGGGTGAAGAGGAGTGGAGAAGGGTGAAGAGAAGGGGACACAGAGGGCAAGGGTGATGTGGTGCAGCATGGCAGTGCAGTTGCCGTTGACATGGCATGGCATGGCATGGCATGGCACATACCGCATGCAGGTTGGTCTTTTGCTTGAACCATGTGACATGCACCCGGTTGCCGCCCAGATCGGACGTGAATCCTATGTGCAGCGGCTGCACCAGGGGGGTACAGGACATAAAGATGGAGGCAATCGGGGGGGGGGAGAGGGGGAGAGTGGAGGGGGGGATTAGGGGATTTAGAAATGCACCCTGTTGCCGCCCAGATCGGACGTGAAGCCCACGTGCAGAGGCTGATGCAGGGGGAATGGAAGCATGGGGGGTGGGGGGGGCGAGAGGGTGGAAATTTGAGAGCCCATGTCACATGCACCCTGTTGCCGCCCAGATCTGACGTGAAGCCCACGTGCAGCGGCTGACGCAGGAAGAATGGGGGAGATGAAAGGCAGAAGAGGAATGGAAGCATGGATGGAGGCGCCAAGTAACCTCGAATGGTCTTTTATTGAATTGAGAAGATAATACCGCCCTGTAACGACCTGAGGTGAACCTGACGTGGAGCGTCCAGGTCACTTTTGAGAATTCTCAAACGTTCATCGTCTGCAGTAGGGGGATATGGGTGGGTGAGTGGAGGCATCACACATGGAAACAGGCAGGAGAGACATTGGCAGGAGATGCAAGCTTAACATGGCCTCCAGAACGCACCTCACCAACCGCACCTGACCAACCGCACCTGGTTAAAATGGTAGATTTGAGACGTCTCAAAACTACTAACCGCACCTGGTGAATGTCCCCTGCAAAGTGCGCCTTTTGATTTTGAGGCGCCTCAGAAGTTGCCAGGAACATGAGCGCCTCTGTGAATTTGTGGTGCCTCACAGACCCTGCACTTGCTGATGTTTGCCCCTTCTTTTCTTCTTTGCTCCCTTGCTTTTGTCATTCATTCACCATCACCATCCTCACCTGATGAATGTCCCCTGCAAAGTGCGCGAGGAACATGAGCGCCTGTGTCAGGTTGTGGCCTTGACCAACAGACCCCACACACGGCACCCTGCGTAACTTGCTTCACAGCCTTGGGCTCTTAGCCACCTTGGCTCTTTGCGGCACATGTGTGCCCCACATCCACACGAACCTCACCTGATAAATATCCCCTGCAAAGTGCGTTAAGAACATGAGCGCCTCCATGAGGTTATAGCCTCTGATGAACCCCCCAACTCCTAACAGACCCCACACCTGTCGCTTTTTGCCCTGTGCATATGTGTGCACTGCTATCGCCCTCACCTGGTGAATGCCCCCCGCAAAGTGCGCGAGGAACATGAGCGCCTCTGTTAGGTTATAGCCTCTGATGGACGCCCCACCCTTTGCTCCTTGCTCCTTTGCTTCTGTGCTCCCTTGCCGTTTCTTATACGTTCATTCCCCCCATCCTCACCTGGTGAATGTCCCCTGCAAAGTGCGCCAGGAACATGAGCGCCTGTGTCAGGTTATAGCGTTTAATGGAACCCACATCCACTGCTTCTTCCTGAATAGCAGGAACCGCAGCAGCAAGGATTGAAGCATGAGCAGCTTTCCTTGCACCATCTCGCACCGCTTCCCTTACCACCCGCACCATCTCCTCTTCCCCTTCGCCCAAATCAGCTACTCCCTCTATCCCTTCTTCCTCCTCCTCAGCCCCCCTCAGAACAGCAGCTTCTGCCTCATCCACCCCCCTGAGAAGAAGACTACGCCGGTGAGGGGGGGTAGGGAGACCGGCAGGCTTGAGTGGAGTTGCAGATTGGGAAGAGGAATGGGGTGAGTAGGTGAGGAGCTGGGACGTGTAGTTGATGATAGCATTGGCAACGCACACACCCGGGTGATGGGCGAAGGCGCAATCGCCTGGGGGAAACAAGGAGCGAGAAGGAGGGGGGAGATAGATAGATGAAAGAGTAGGAGAGGAGCTAGGTCCTGGCAGGTGTGTGTAGTTTATGATTGCATTGGCAACACACACACCGGGGTGATGGGCGAAGGCGCAATCGCCTGGAGTGGAGGGAGGGTAGAGGGAGAGAGAGGGACGAAGAGATAGGTGATGCGAGAGGAGGTGGGATCTGAGGTTTGTAATGGCGTTGACAACGCATACAAATTGAGATGATGGGCAAAGGTGCAACCTCCTGGAGGGGAGGGAGGGTAGAGGGAGAGAGAGAGGGACGGAGAGGTAGGTGATGCGAGGAGGTGGAGCGTTCGGTTGATTCTGAAGTGAAGAGGAGAGAACAAGGCCTACCCCTTGGTTTGCCGAATGGCAGTACCGTACCATACCATACCATACCATACCGTACCGTACCGTACCGTACCGTACCGTACCGTACCGTACCGTACCGTACCGTACCGTACCGTACCATACCATACCATACCATACCATACCATACCATACCATACCATGCCATGCCATGCCATACCACATTATACGCAGTCAGAAAAACTCACGGCGTTCATCATAGGAGCATGCGAAGTAGGCATATCAACGAAGTGCAGAGGCGTGGACCACGCCCACCCCTTGGTGTGCCGAATGGCTTGCTTGGGGTACCATACCGAACTGTACCATACCGTACCGCACTGCACCAAGTCAGACCAGCTCACGGCGTTCATCATAGGAGCATGCGAAGTCAGGGGTATCAATGTAATGCAGAGGCGCGGACCACGCCCACCCCTTGGTGTGCGCAATCACATCAGCCCACGAGCACACGGCAGGGAGGCTTCCCCTGGCCATGGGAGGGAGCAGTGCCGCTACTGCTGCTGCTGCCTCGTCCGTCAACAAGGCCTGGATAGGGAGGGTGGTAGGGGGGCGGTTAGGGGCAAGGAAATAAGGAGGACGCTTGATTCACAGACACGGCCTGGCCACGCATTCCCATTATACCATGGCTTCCTTCCTCTCATGCACTTCCTTTTCTTCAATGAACGTTTTCTTTTTTGCTCTCTAATCTATTTGAGCTTACCAATGCACCTAAGCTGCACAAGGTGCATTGGAAAAATAAAAATAATAATAATAACGAAACCGCACCCGGGCGATAGCGCACGTGAAAGCGTTTTTGTCGTGACCTCCCGTCACCTGTCATCTCAGTTATATAGGCACCTAAGCTGCCTAAGGTACATACGGAATCCCACCTGCGCAATGGCGCACGTGAACGCGTGGCCGACGTGGCCCCACGCGTGGCACCCGAAGCGAGCCGCGGGGAGCAGAGCGAGGAGCGAGACGAACGTTAGAAGCAAGCGAGGGTGCGACGAGCCGCGACGAGCGGCTTGGCGGACGCAACGCGCCATGGGGGAACGGGCTGGGAGATGCTTCAAGAAACGCCTCGCACGCTGGGCATTAAATGCTCCCAGCCTCTAAGCCTAATAAGAGAGAGCGAAACGATGGCGGAGGAAAAGCGGAGAGGAGTGAAGGAGAAAGAATTGAGGGACAGAATTTCGAATTTATCCAACTCCACTGCATGTCGTAGCTGAGTTTGGCTGCGGGCAATGTCAAGCTGTTGCTGGGCTGCCATGAGGGTTGATTGAATGGCAAATTCGTTTCGACAAGCACCGAACTCAAACGCCCGAAATCTCAATGAAGCACACTTGATCGCAAGAGGCCTCACTGAACCGCAAATAAAGGAACAAGGCGAAGCATCCAATAAGGCACACGCTTGTGCGTCCCTTGTTACCATGTATAATGTATCATCGCAAAATGCTCGTAAAATTTTCGCGAATGCCCAGAGAGTCGCTGACGAAGCGCTCGTGCATGCAACTCGGGGTAACATTGATTCGCTATCCTTGTGCAGTTACACAACCAATTGACGGAACACGAGTCTTTTGTGTGTGTAAAACCCACATTTCTTTCTGTGGTTTCACATTTTTTCTGGCCAAGGCCCAGAGCTTGCACGCTACTGTACCTACCGGTAGCTTCTCGCCTCATGTAGCACAGCCAGCCAGCAAAATACTTTGTCATGCTCTTTCCAGCAAGTGGAAGGGAGGTAGATACCACTCATACGACTATACTTTTCAGATGACAGGACTGTTGGGCTGAGAAAAAGCCCTTAGGATCTTTTGCAGGGGTAAATTCGGGGTAGGACTATTGTAATAGCGGAAGCGTTTAATGAAGAAGTTGTGAACCACCTTGCGCTAGTGTGTGAGGGCAAAGTAAGTTGATTAAAGCAAAGGGATACAAGCATTATATATGAGTACAAGGAATATGAAAAGGATACAGTTATAACTACTTTACTGTTGCTGTTGTGGTTCGATACAGTGACGACTCGGGCAACTGCTCAATAGCGAGTCAGTTGTGTGTCCTTGCTGTCGCGCTGTACTTGTCAGGTCAAAGGTCGCTGACCTTTGACTTTCGCGTAACCTCCAGCAACCTCTTTCAACCTCCGAGGGTTGACTCGCGTGTGCCTCAATATAGTTCGCTTCGCTTCTGGTGCGATGTTTCGACACGACAGAGGCGCTTAAGATTTACTGTTTCCAACACTCCCCTTCGCTTCTGGAGTGTCGCTGCTGATGACGTGGCCCTGTCCAGTCAGCAGCATGCAGTACTCGAACTTCTGCTTTCCGAGCTTCTTGGTCAAGTAGTCAGCTGCCATCTCGGACGTGGGACAGTAGGATAGTTCAAGTCTCCCCTTCTCGATCTCGTCTTTCACGAAGAAATATCGCAGGGCGATATGTTTCGTTCTGTTCGCGAATCCATTTTTGTTGGCGATGCGAATTGCAGATTGGTTGTCGCAGAACAGAGTGAAATTAGGTAACTCGGCTAACTTCGCTTCTTCCAGCAGCTCGCGAAGGTAAAGTCCTTCCTTGGTGGCTGAGCAGAGTGCGATATATTCCGCTTCAGCTGATGAGAGGGCGATTAGTTCCTGCTTACTCGACTGCCAGGAGATAGGACCGATAGGCTCGAGGCGGTAGATGTAGCCGGTGCGTGAGCGCCTATTGTCGGAATCGCCGGCGTGATCGGCATCGACATAACCGATTAGCTTAGTCGGTGTAGTTGCGTTCTTGTGATACGTTAGGCCGATCGTTGGAGTGCTGACGAAGTAGTGAAGAGCGCGGTCGAGCTCCGCCAGGTGTTCTGCTTCAGGCCTTTTGAGGTAGGTAGCGAGCTGGCTTGCGGAGTATGAGAGGTCGGGGCGGCAGGTGACAGCTGCGAAGAGGAGGCAGCCCAGCTTTCTCTGGTAGTCGCGTATGCCGGCGGGCTTCAGTAGAGTAGATCCTCCCTTGTCAGTTCCTGTCGTGTAACAGTATGGCGTGGAGATCGCGGTCGGTGTGAGAGCGAAGCGCTTGGCGATGGTGTCGGCGTACTTTTCGGCGCTGAGGTAGATTGCAGTTTCTTCTTCTCGGATATTGAGGCCGAGATACTGAGTGACGGTAGACGAGACAGTGAGTGTGAGGTCTCGTTGCAGCTCCCCTTCGAACCAGGTGGTGATGCCGTCGGACGAGCCGATGTAGAGGAGGTCGTCTACATAGACGATTAGTAGAATGTAGTCGGTGTTCTTTGTAAGTCGGTACATGCCCTGATCGTGCGGCAGTTGTTTGAAGCCGATGCGGACGAGGCGAGCGTGTAGATACTGTTGCCACAGTCGCGGAGCCTGTTTGATGCCGTAGAGCGACTTGAGCAGCTGGCAGACGTGTGTGGAGTCCGTGCTGGAGCCGTGTGGTAGCTCCACAAAAATCTCTGCGTCGACAGGTGCGTAGAGAAAGGCGTTCGCAACATCGATTTGTCTTATCTTCTTTTTCTTCATGGCGACGATTGCGAGGAGAATTTGCAGTGAGGTGTGTCGACTGACAGGTGCGAATGTTTCGGTGAAGTCGCGTCCGTGCTCTTGGTCGAAGCCGCGCACGACCCATCGTGCTTTGAACTTCTCGATGGTGCCATCCGCTTTTGTTTTCACGCGGAAAAACCATTTTCCGGTGAGGATGGTCTTGTTCCGTACTGCGCTGATGGGGACGACTTTCCACGTGTTGCGCTCTTCTAATGCTTTCAGCTCCCTGTCCATGGCTTCGCGCCATTTTTCCCTGTGCTCCCCCCCCAGAGCCTGTTGAACCGTCGCAGGCTCCTTAGGAATGGCGGTGCCGTGGACTGCGGTGACGAGTCCAAGTATCTGGAGCCCACTCTGTGTGTAGCGGGGGAGTGTGGTGTCCTCGGGATAAGCTGCTTCGTCACCGTCCTCTGGGTCCGGTAAGAAATTTGGTCCTATGCGTTCTGCTTCGTCGGTGTTGACCCGTGCAGGTGTAACGTAACCAGTGTCGGCGAAATCGTAGAAAACGTCGGCGTTGATGCTGTCGCGAGGGTTTTCGCAATCGATGGGGATATCGACGGAGCAGTACGGGAGAGGTCCGGCTTCTTCCGAGGCTCCTTCCACATTCTGCTCGTCCAGGTCAGCTTCGTCGGCTGCCGAAGCGAAGGCTCGGTCTCCACGGAATCCACTGGTGAGGTCTCGCTGTTCTGCCAAGTTGGCAAGGTAGGAGTCGAGGGTGAGTCGCTCGTAGAAGATGAAGTCGCGTGCTGGTACTGTTTCTTTTGAGTGGACGTCGAAAATTTTCCACGCGTTGTAGTTCTTTTCGATGCCCAGGTGTAGTCCCCATTGTGCTCGTTGGGAGAATCGGCCGGCTCGTGCAGCTGGGGGTCGGTACTGTACCATGCACCCAAAAACTCGTAACATTTTTGTGCTGCCCAGTTTTCCTGTCCACAACAGGTGCGGTGATGCGTTGTTCGGGAGTGACGACGAGGATAGCAAGTTGTGCAGCATGACAGCGTGGTCCATCGCCTCTGGCCACTGGTGGTTGGGTAGCCGCATGCCACGTAGCAGTTTGCGCATGGTGTTCTGCAGGGTCCTGTTCATCCTTTCTGCTACACCCTGCTGTTGATGGGCGTAGGGGAGGGAGATGAGTTTCTTGATTCCTCTTTCCGCCAAGTATTGCTTGAACCTTTGTGAGGTGTATTCTCCTCCCCCGTCTGACTGAAAGCTTTTCAGCTTAGCTCCCGATTCTCGTTCCGCAACTGGTAGCCAGGCGACAAAGGCTTCGAAAGCCATATCGCGGCTTGGAAGGTTGAGGTGCCAGACATATCGAGTGGCGGCGTCGATGAAGGTGATGGTGTAATTGAAGGCTCCTTGCCCTGTTGCGCGATTGTACAGGATGTCGCTGTATACCTTCTCAAGTGGTGTGTATGCAGGTGCGCTTGGGTTGTGGTGAGGTACGAACGGCTGATGCGGTAGGTCGGCTTCGGGGCAGGTGAAGCATGTTCCTCTGACTCGTTGAAGTTCTCTTCCGTCGTGCAGTAGTAGAAGTGAGTCTTTGTCGAGCACTCCTGCTCTTATTGTGTTGTTTAACGTTGTGTTGCTTGGGTGTCCCATCCGTGCGTGCCAGATGTCTTCGCTAGCGCGGTGCCCGGGTGAGCGTCTGTACATGTATGAGTATAAGTAGAAGCCTGCG